AATTTTTACGGAATGACTATGACCTGGATGACTGAGAACCTTCATCAACGACATGTTGAATCCTGGTCTGCATCCTGCCATGTTCCCTGTCTCCGCTCCGCCGCACCTTCAACTCAGTCTCCGGCCAGCCGTCAGGAGGCTGACCCGCCTGATCTTTCCTCTGTACCTCCTGACTACCACGACCTGGCACCTGTTTTCAGTAAGGTTAGTGCGCTTTCTCTTTCCCCGCATAGACCTTATGACTGTGCAATAGATCTGTTACCTGGAGCCCCCCTCCCAAATAGTCAACTCTATAACATTTCCAAGCCCGAGAGAGAGACCATGGAAAAGTACATTAATGAATCCTTAGCTGCCAGTATAATTCGGCCTTCTTCTTCTCCTCTCGGGGCCGGCTTCTTCTTCGTAGGAAAGAAGGATGGATCCCTGCGACCTTGTATCGATTACAGAGGTCTAAATCAAATTACTGTTAAGAACAAATACCGTCTACCCCTGTTAGCTTCTGCCTTTGAACCCGTCCAAGGAGCCACTGTTTTCACCAAGTTGGACTTAAGAAACGTCTATCATCTACTCAGAATCAGAGGAGATTAATGGAAGACTGCATTTAAAATTCCTCTAGGCCAATTCGAGTACTTAGTGATGCCTTTTGGTCTAACCAATGCCCCTGCCTGTTTCCAGGCCCTGGGTAATGATGTTTTGAGAGATTTTTTAAACATATTCGTTTTTGTCTATATTGATGACATTTTGATCTACTCCAAAAACCTGTCTGAACACAAGAAACACGGCCGTTTGGTTCTTCAAAGACTCCTTGAAAACAAGCTGTTTGTCAAAGCTGAGAAGTGTGAGTTTCATCGTCCTTCTGTCACCTTTCTAGGTTTTGTGCTCGAGGGCGGGCAGGTGAAGCCGTCTGAGGACAAGATCAAGGCGGTTTTGGACTGGCCCACTCCCGAGAACCGTAAACAACTACAAAGGTTTCTAGAATTTGCAAACTTTTACAGAAGGTTCATCCGAAATTATAGCCAGACAGCTCAGCCTCTGACTGCCCTTATATCTGTTAAAAGGACTTTTCACTGGTCTGCGGAGGCTGCATTTAAGAAACTCAAGGCCCTGTTCTCTAGTGCACCCATCCTCGTCCAACCTGACCCCTCCAAGCAGTTCATATTGGAGGTGGATGCTTCTGATTCTGGGGTGGGGGCAGTCTTGTCCCAAGTATCTGATTCTGACCAAAAAACTTATCCATGCGCATTTTTCTCCCGCAGACTTTTGCCGCAGAGCAATTAAACTGGCTCTGGAAGAATGGCGGCATTGGCTGAAGGGCGCAGAGCATCCCGTTCTGGTATGGACAGATCACAAAAACCTATCATACATTCAATCTGCTAAGAGATCCAATCCCCGTCAGTCCCGTTGGTCAGTATTCTTCTCAAGNGCTCTTTACAGGAGATAGCCGGCTATCTGCAAAATGCTACACCAAGAACGGAGCCCGCTCAACTTCCGGTTCAAGAGACTAATCCTCCACTCAGGTCAGAACCCGGTCCGTCGTTTCCTGAATTCCGCCCTTCACTTCCTGAAAAGTTTTTTGGCAATCCAAGTAAGTGCAAGGGATTTCTGTTCCAGTGTAAACTCATTTTTGAACATTTGCCGTCCAGTTTCCCTAATGACAAGAGGAAAATTGCCTTTATTCTGTCTCAATTGTCCGGAAAAACCCTCGAATGGGCGGAAGCCAGATTTTCTTCAGAATTTAATGTTTTGATTGTACATTTGAACAATTTATCCAAGAGTTTTCACAAGTATTCAATCAAGACACAGACAAGTCCACAGAGTCTCATGGACTTTTAGAATTTAAACAAGGAAATAGAACGGTTGCAGAATTTTCAATCGACTTCCGGGTCAAAGCGGCTGCTTCCAGATGGAATGAATCTGCGCTTATTTACATGCACTAGATGAATCCATTAAGGACGAGCTGGCCACTATCGATGAACCAGCAACCTTGGAGGAGCTCATCAAGTTAACAATCCGTTTGGATAACAGACTACGAGCCAGATTCAAGTCTAGATTTAGAAGCCATGTTTTTTCTGTCTCTGCCCCAGCAGCTAAGAATAATGACACCATTTCTTCCTCAGTGTCCTCTGAAGCTGAGTCCAGATCAAAGAGCCGGAATCAACCTGTATCTGTCCCTGTATCTAAGACTCATTACGTCTCTCTCCTCCACAGAATCCTCTGAAGTTGAGCCAATGCAGATCGGTCACACCAGGCTCACATCCGAGGAGAGGCTAAGAAGGTTTAAGGGGAACCTTTGCAGGTACTGTGGAGAACCTGGTCATTTTGTTTCAACCTGCCCAGCTAGGGTAAAAGCCGGGGTCCGCCAGAGGAAATGAGGAGTCTTTTCTCCCGCAGACTTTCGCCGCAGAGCAAAATTACGATGTCGGAGACAGAGAACTCTTAGCAATTAAACTGGCTCTGGAAGAATGGCGGCATTGGCTGAAGGGCGCAGAGCATCCTGTTCTGGTATGGACAGATCACAAAAACCTATCATACATTCAATCTGCTAAGAGATCCAATCCCCGTCAGTCCCGTTGGTCAGTATTCTTCTCAAGATTTAACCTGATTATCTCCTACCGGCCTGGTTCCAAGAACATCAAACCCGACTCTCTCTCACGCCTGTACTCGCCCGACAAACCTAAAACTCCGGACTCCATTTTCCCTGCCAGCTGCCCGGTGGCTACTGTCTCCTGGGAAATCTCTGATTTAAAAAGACTGGCCCAAGCTCCTGAACCCGACCCAGGTAATGGTCCACCCAACAAAACCTATGTTCCCTCTTCTGTCAGGTCCCGTCTCATACACTGGATGCATTCAGCCAAGTTTTATGCTCACCCCGGTGTAAGCAGAACCATTGCCCTGATCTCTCGCTGTTTCTGGTGGCCATCCCTTCACAAGGATACGAAAGAGTATGTCCTAGCCTGTTCCATCTGCGCTCGAAATAAACCTTCACACAAACCTCCCTCTGGTCTTCTTCATCCGCTACGTGTTCCATCTCACCCCTGGTCCCACATTGCCGTGGATTTTGTGACCGGTTTACCCGCATCTAGAGGTATGACCACCATCCTCGCCATAATAGATTGATTCTCAAAAGCCTGTCATCTTGTTCCCCTCAGGAAACTTCCGACTGCCTTCCAAACAGCGCAGCTTCTGGTCAAACATGTTTTCAAGCTCCATGGAAGGAGCTTGAAAACATGGAAGGTCTAGAAACACTTCTGTTCTGCTCTTGACACAAATATCTCTCTGACATCAGGTTATCATCCACAATCCAACGGTCAAACTGAACGTCTAAATCAGGAACTGGAATCAACCCTCCGATGCTTCGCTTCAACCAACCCGATCTACTGGAGCCAATATCTACACTGGGTAGATACACTGGCGATTGGTTTGTCTCAAAGATTACCTGTGGAGTACCACAGGGATCAGTGCCAGGAAAAATTCTCTTTACTATATATATGCTCCCAATCGGTAGAGTTATTAGACAGCATGGGATTTCATCATTCTGCTTCATTCTGTCTCTATTCTCCTATTCTGCAGAATCTGTTACTTCAATCTCTAACGTCCTGCTCTCTCTGCTTTTCCTCAGAGTAGCTTTGCCTCGTCTGTTCCTGTTTGGCTGTGAC